ATATTTTTTTTTTTTGTTTTAGATTTATATGTTATTCAATGTACTCAATGCGGAAGAATATTTAATGAAAAGCATCAGTTCAGAAAACATTTTACTCGCTGTGACTTTTACAAAGAGGATTTCAAATGTCATATCTGCAATAAAATATATAGGTAAGATTACAGATAAAAAATGAAAAGTTATTTGCTGTTTTAGTAGAACATATATTTATTATAACACATTTACAGACACAAATCATCATTAGCTCAACATCTGAGGCTCGTGCATCATGTATTAGGTGGTCTTCATGAGAAGTATTATACTTGTAATAAGTGTTCAAAATCATATGTTAGATTTCGTGCTTTTCAAAGACACATACTTCTTCATGATGATTAATAAGTGTGCAATATAAAACATTAACGATATTTGGTTTCTAATATGACATCTCTCTCTGTGAAGTGATACATTTTACATTTACAAGTTATGAAAATCGCTCTTGAACATCACAAAAATACATATTGAAACTATTCATTCGGAATATTTACAATAATTCAAGATTTTATTAATAATTTTACATTTTGATAAGTTAGTACATTTTATATTCATATTTAATTTTTTTATTCTTTTTGTTATTTTTTAGTTATTTGGAAATTTTTTTTTTGTTTATGTTTTCTTAATAATATAATATTTTTTTTGTTTATAAAGTTTATATATTATACGTGCTTTTTTTATTTTTTATGCATTGCAGATTCTTTGCTGAAATAAAGTTTTAAGAATATAATTATATAGCAGTGCTTTATTATTTAATTAATTTTGAATAGACTCTACTTTAATAAAATTTTGATTTAAAGCTAAAAGAGAGAGAGAGAGAGAGAGAGAGAGAGTTAAAATATATTTAATATCAAAAAATTAAAATAGTTATGAAATAAGGAGAGATAAACAAAAATTAGACTTTTGTTATCCAAGAAAAAATTAACTTTTAGATTTCTCAAAGAATATGCTAAAGAAAAATATAGTAATGGTAAATCATAATTAATAAAAAACGGAAAATATTTTTATTTATATCTGTTTTTATAAGAGATTCAAAAAAGTATATAAGTTGAGCATAGCAGTTGAGTTGTGTATAGCACATTAATATTTTACTTATATTTGATTAGTATTATTTTGTTCCTTTATATATGTTCTTTTTACTCGTTGAGATATATCACATAGTTTAATATACATACTTTGACATTCTTTTCATGAGGAAAGATTATATAATTGTAAGTCTAAAAAAGTTCCTTTATATGTGTTCTTTTTACTCATTAAGATATATTACCATAGTTTGATATACATACTTTGACATTCTTTTCCTGAGGAAAGATTATATAATTGTAAGTCTAAAAAAAGTTCCTTTATATGTGCTCTTTTTATTTATTAAGATATATCATAGTTTGATATATATACTTTGACATTCTTTTCATGAGGGAAGATTATATATATAATTGTAAAACTAAAAAATTTGGCGATTTATTTTAAAAACAATCTGCCATGTTAGTTTTTCTTTTAATATATATAAGTAAATATAAGTATATACCAGTATATATAGTATTTTTTGTATTTTTATATATTCTAATAATTTATTAATGTTTGATACACATACAATACATTTAATAACATATATAATACAGCTTCAAATACATACACACATACATATATTTAGTTAAATGTTTATTATATTGTGATAAATTTACATTTCTCCTAGACTAAAATAGTTTTCTAATAATTGTAAAAGTATGGACTTAATGAGGGATTTATTTACAATGTTCTAGTTAAAATTAATTAATAGTTGAAACTATTATACATCATTATTAAATTTTGAAAATAAAGAAGAGAAAATATTTTGTATTTTTGATGTATAATTTTTATCATAAAGATACAGAAACTATAATTCCATAAAGATAAGAAAGATATAATTAGTGTTTTTGAATTCAGCATGTTTTTTATTACAATGCATGAAAGGTAAATGCAAGATACAAGAATGCGTATCTTTTGTGTAATTATATTTGAGAGAGATATGATTTGCATATCAAATATATTGAATACACTCTAAAGTAGCATTAAGTTTAAATGATTATATATTTCAGACTTTATAAAAGTTAAAATGTAAGTCAAGAGAAAATTTTGAAATTTAATTTATCCTAATTTTCTTCTATCGTTTTATTTTCTTGTATAAAACTTTAGGAAGTAAAACAATTATTGAATTTTGGAAAATAATATTGAATAAACTGATTATACTTGTAGTAGTCTTCTTAATAGTAGAAATCTAACTTAATAGTAGAAATGTTCATCATAAGAAATATTTACGGTATGACATTATAACAAAATCTTGAGTGAAAGATATTTCTGTTTAATATAATATTTCCGGGGCCTTTTTGCTCATGAGATCGATTTGCAATAGCAAGACTTTTCAATAGACATAGAATTAAGAGTAACTTTTGAATTTTATGTTGTAAATTTTTATTTTTTAGTAAGAAGCATTATAATATTATTACAGTGTTTCTTTGAAAAAGAATCAATTTGTATTTCAAAAATTCGAAAGAATGCCGATGTAATCATAAAACATTATATTAAAATTATATGGTAAGTATTATGAAATTTCTCTTATTTTTTTAAATAATGTAATTGTAAATAAGTCGACGTCTTTCAAATGGTGAAAAAAATTTTTATTCGTTATTAATTTAATATTTATTATTACTGTTATCTATTAATATTATTGTATAATCTATGATATTTATTTAAAAACTTTATTTAATAATAATTCTGAGTAAAGTTAATAACTGAATATTATTATTATAAGTATACATGAATTTCGACATTCCACAATTTCATATTTCGATATCTAATGGAACGGAAGCAATGACGTCATTTTGACGTCACGCGTATTACGATGTCGAAAATATGTCGCCGATTTGTCTCCTTCCTTCGTACGTTTCCTAACAGTTTTTCACGAGAAAGGTAATTACGGTTTCCTTTATATCCAACACACACAAATATACTTTAAGAATGAAACAATATCTGATGAAATACATATGATTAATTGATAAAGAAATAAAAAAGATTCCGAGATGTTCCGAATAATATATATAATTTAGTGTAGCCTATTATGTTTAATATTAGATAAAAATTGTTAATAAAATCGAGATAGGATAATACAAGATGAGATTTTTGTTATAAAAATTCAAGACAAGATTTAAGTTTTCGAAAATTTGCAATACTACACAATACAATATTCTTACGAAGTTTGTCTCATCTCGAGTCTTGTACAATCCTATTTTCTTACTATATTTCTTAATATACATTCAGTTATATTTATATTGAATATGCCTCCAGTAAATTTACATTTACGTATATAACAGTTTTTTTAGCAACATTCTTTCAAACGTATACATTTACTTCATCTTTTTTGTGTTGTAGGGAGTAGAGAGAAAAGATAAATACAGTGTCTCTCTCAGTCGTGTACTCATTCCGATCTGGTCTAGCATTCGGGTGGGACGCTCTGTGCATCACCGGCACGTGTTCGGTTAAAGTTACGCGAAGGTCAAAAGCGTCGTATATTACACCGAGCACGAACACAAGCGCGTGATAGGTAACAATAATACGCACAATATATGTACGGGGATAATGTTTTAGCATATCGAAATAAAACGATTTCTTAGCAAAAATAGTATTACGATTCAAATGTAACGTTTCTATTCCGTTATTTACGTTTCTATTTCGTTATTATCTGGCTGCTGCGGTTAGGTTAAATAGCACAAATATCATTGAATTTAATCACGAACCGTAAGAATTTCGTGATAGTGTTAGAATTTTTGTGACCATTTTATTCGGCAATTATCTGCAATTTTCGAATATTGTTAACAATATTTAGATTTCGTTTTTTATGCTTTTTGTTTAATATCGCGTTTTCTATCAAAAAAGATACTTGTAAAGAAATTATAAAATTAATTTTTTCTAGGATCCAAGGAGTACTGAGGTGAGGCAATCGTCGCAAAGATATTGTGATAACAGTTTTTGCAAAGATATTGCAAAGCGAGGTGATCTTCGTAAAAATACTATGAAGTATGTACAACATATATAAATTAAATTTATATATTAAAAAATGTATAAATTTTATTTTGTGTAGCGCGATAAATATGATTCAAACTTAAAAATATTTTGCAATACAGATATGGTTAAAAAGATTTGCAAATTAAGTCATTTTGTGTCGCGAGTGTATTATGTGTGAAATGAAGACTAAATGTAATATAAAAATTGAAGTACAATAGACATAAAATTCTTTAACCAAATCCGCAAATTTAATATTTCACGATAAATATTCATTGATTAGCACAGTCGAAATATTTAATTATTAAACTCGTTAAAATTATAATTTAATGAAATATTCACATTACGAATGTACTGTGTGACAGCGACTATGGAATATTGACTGGACTATGGAGACTACATATATATGGAGTGAACTGGATGTATGAAGACTGCGTATGAGGACTGCACCCCTTCCGGGTACAAGCCCTTGCGGCGGAAAATGCATTGCTGTAGGAACATCGAGGGACGTCGCGAAATTGTGAGTTTTGATTAATTTTTTAATGAATTTGTGTGTGTGTGTGTTTTTTTTTTTTTTAAATACATTTCCTGCACTTTATATCAGTTAATATATTATTATTTGATATTTTTTTCTAGTAAGAGTAAAAAAATTAAATATGATATTAAATATGAAAATTATATATGAAAATATATAAATATGACTTATACATTTACAACAAATCTATGTTAATAGATAAATTTTTATAAATATTAAAATTATATCTTGTATAATGTATTTAATTTTTTATTTATATGTATAAATATATAAAATAGATAATGGAATACGCATAGTGCAGAGTGTTATAAAAAAAACAAATTATACCACATATATAGTAATTCCATAGTATTTAACACGTAGTAATAATATTTTTTAGTAATCGCACCGAGATTTCTAACATCAAAAATAGGAATAATCATGCATTGTTAAATTAACAATTTTATGTTTTGCACGTCGCGTCGCGAAAATTTGTATTTATTATATCATTTTATATACACACATATACTTGCATTTATAATTGCGATGCAAATGTGTGAAATTAACATTTATATATTTTTTATTGTTGCATATTTTATGTGAAACTTATATATATATATCTTTACACAAATTTAATATTTCTAATATCTTTATATTTATTTCTGATGTGTTTTTAGATATTGTCTTAGATATATTTGTGCATTTATATCTTATATATTTGTATCCACAAAAGTTTGTCTTTTTATGCAATTCTTGCAATTCGTAGGCACCTGTCTTTATAAACTTGATATTCTTTTTTCAAATTTTTTATTTTACGTGCATATCCAGTAATTAATTATTATTAAACATGGTTATTTCCTGCCCTTTATATAGTAATAAAAAATAAGTTAACGTAGCAAAAATAAACTGTTTCTGACAACAGATGATAACGCTTTTATCATCACTTAATTTCTCGTTTTATTATCATAGAAAATGAAATAAGACTAGTTGCAATTTGCAATCTTGTTTTTCATACTTTAAATAATTAAATATATTAAGGAGAAGAGAGTAGATAGTAAAAATTATATTATTATAATGTAAGAAAAGAGAAGAGAAATACTTTCATTAGCTCATGATTCCGATCATAATTCCGTTTCGCGAAAATATCGTCGGTTCGTCGCTATTTACACGTTGGTTCTCAACCGTAAATTATAACGAGACCCCGTCACGTAGTCCGTCGAATTTACTGAGGATCGTGACGCGACCGGTAAAAGGCAGTCTCGCCTTTTTAACGACGTACGATATCCACACAGTACTCTAGTAGTCCGTTAGTATATCGCCTCCGACATTATAACGCGGTATCGACCGTGCAAAACTCATCTCGCCAAAATATCGTATCTCAGCGGTGCTGTAATTTTTGCGGCCTCGATCGGCATTGTATCTAGAAGTGCACGAGAGAGAGAGAGAGAGAGAGAGAGAGAGAGAGAGAGAGAGAGAGAGAGAGAGCGAGTGTGAACAATTCCCGATAAATTTTAATTAAATGAAATTTTAAGTCGATGCTGATACATTTCGTTATCTTTGTCGATGCAGTTCGTATGTCACAACGTGAATTCAAATTTTAAGATAGTAAAAAGATTCCGTGCTCTCTCTCTCTCTCCCCCCTCTCCCTCTCTCTCCCTCTCTCTTTCTTTTTCTCTCTTTTTCTCTCTTTTTCTCTCTTTCTTTCTCTCATCCAAGACAGCTTATATATAAATTTATAATACTATATAATATATCATATTCAATTCACGTTTTAAGAAGATATATTATATTTATATAATCTTTTTTCTTTAAAACTCTTCAAATAAACGGTAATTAAGATAGATGGTCATTTGAAATTAATATAAATGACTAATTTGTTTTCGTAGAGTTCACTAAAAAAAATTATGTTATTTTTGTTCCATAATATAAAAAGTTTGTGTATTTAGGTATAATTATATGTATTAAAAATGTTCATCTAAAGATATAAAAGATTGAAACATTTATATAACAAAGGTAATTGAAACATTTAAGTATGATGAACTGTTATCGGTGGCCTAACTCTTTTCAACGTGACAGATTGAATAAAAATAAATAGAAATTAATTATGAATAAAGATAAAAAATAAGCCGGTTACAGGACTATTTGTTACATTTAAACGTGTAAGTTTTGACTATTATATTATAATGGAAGGAAGTTGATTACAAATTATATGTGCAGCTTACGAAAGGAAAGGAGACGTAGTTACTCTTAAATGACTTATAAAAGATAAAAGAAAATTGTATATGTTGGCATATAGGATGTTGCTAGTTATGATTCCTATTAAATATTGATATCACCTACAATATCGGCAAGTAAATGTCGGAGAAAATATGAGGGAGTAAGATCTATATTTTCTAATATCGCGATAATATCATCGGCCATCCCTATTCGGTATCATCCGGGTCCGGGTGTCTTTATCTTCACCCCGATCCCTCGGTTTTTTTTTTCTCCCTCGGGGAAACGGGTGGTCCACGGTGGCGCCGTGTCTGGTCAAAACGGGAACGAAAGCTTGCGCCGGAACCGCGCAGATCCTCTCCTCAGTAGTTGCCCAGACGCTGTCACGGGCGTAGCTGGATGCTGGATCGTCTCTCTCTCTCGCGCGCGCGCGTGCCGCAGGGAGGCGCTTCCTTTTCTTCTTCCTCTTTCTCCTAATCACGTCTCACGTCGCCCTCGCCGTCGACGACGTCGCCGGTGTCGTCGTCATCGCTATCGTCGCCGTCGTTGACGATCATTCTCGATCGCAGCGTCGCGCTCGTTGACACGGCCCGATCGTCGTCCCCGAGAGCAAGGAGAAGGTGCTGGAGAAAAGGGAGGCCGACGACGAAGGATTTCTCCTGCCGGCGTGACAAAGGGAGAGGGGGAGAGAGAGAGAGACAGGCAGGCAGACAGAAATAGACCGAGAGAGGGAGAGAAAGAGAGGGAGAGAGAGAGAGAGAGAAAGAGAGAGAGAGAAAGGAGAGAGAAAGAGAGAGAGAGAGAGAGAGGGAGGGAGGGAGAGAGAGAGATAGAGATAGACAGACAGACAGAGACAGACAGAGAGATTGCGAGAGAGAGGGAGAGAGCGAGAGAGAGAAATGGACAGGTGGATGAAGACATAAAGGGGAGAGAAGTAGACGGAGGAAACGAGGAATATAGAGAAAGATAGAGACAGACCGACTGTGAGGGAGGTGTTGCTCAAGTAGTGCTCTGTGTATGGTGCAGTAACGGTGCTGTGCTCGAGATAGAGAATGGCATGGACGGATTTTCGCGTGTATCTCGCCGTGACGTAGCAAGGTAAGAGAGCGCCGTCTTCCTTTCCCCTCTATTCGTTTTCGTCCTTTTTCGTCATGCCGCTCCGGAGTACACGTCCGTGATCGTCGAAAAGTCATGCGGTTTCGTGTCCGGTCGCATCTAATGGCTCCGACTCGCGGAAATTCAGAACGACAATTATCCATTGGCTCGATCGGCGCGATGCCGAGCCGCGCGGTGCGTCTTGTCGCGTGCGCGTCGCGTCTGACACGACGCGTGCCGTTACCACTGACAGCTCCGAGCGCTTGCTCCGGTGATTGTATTGACGAGGAATTGATCGAAATTGACGCTTGAAACGCGGGATTGAGTATTTTTCGTTGCCATTATGCGACGAAAAAATTATATTTTATTATATTTTTCATTTATATTATTATATTTTTCATCTATGAATATGAATTTAAGGACGACAAATAGTGAAACGAAGTATGTTTTACGAATGACACTAGAATTATCGCATTGACGCAAATTATTACACTGATCGACAATTGTCGCGGTTTAAATATTAATCGTTTAATTCCAACATACAATTTAGCTCTAATAATTTTTCTAACATAATTTTTTACGTTGTATAGTTAACGCGTTAGTTTCCTATCATTATGAAAATTAACATCATTTAATTTTTGATGAAAATTAACGCGTCGAATTAAATCGTTGAATATACTTTGTCTTTAATTTATATTACGTAATTTCAAAGATTAAGATAAATATAAATTAACAAGTTATGCATTAATATATCCTTTAGTTTTTTTTTGTTTGTAAAACATATGTATATTAAATTATAAAATGACGGCATAACACAATGTTTATGATACGGATAAAATTTTCATGTTCTATTCTTCCCTAAGAGATGTTATACCTTTTGACTCCTAAATATAATAGGCGTAATGTTAAAGGGGAGGCCCTTTCCTTGCTGTATGATCAAAATAAAGAAATTATGAACAGTTATACTAAAATATAAATGCTTGACTGTACTTCTTTCTAAGATAATGTTTAATTTCGCGGATAAAATTTACGACTGACACCCGCACGCTCGACGAATTTCACCTTTCCTGCCGGGCTTTGCCGCAGCAGGCAACGATAAAAAAAAAGAAACGCGCTTCGTTACCGCATTATTTATGAGGTAAGAACTTATTTATCTTGACGAGGGGTTGGTAGGGTTGAGAGAGAAGGGCCGAGACTCAATAAACGAGGATACTTCGATGTAAACGTGGTGTATAGTAAACGAAGATCGCATGTGACGCCGATCGATATCTTCTCGAGTACAATCTCTTGCGAATCTGAAGTTCTTGTCTGTGTTAAACACACTATTTTATCGTATGACATGAAGGAAATAGAGTTTAGAAATATTTATTCGCATCATTCTTTGTAGCTGATTTCAAGTTCAAACAGGTTGCATAATGAAAAGTTAAAGGATTGGGCCATGTCACAATTTTGTCGTTTGGCATATTAAAAAATAACAGTATATCTTATTAAAAGCGAATAATATCTATATATAATATTAATAATTAAAATCTGTATCTATTAAATAATATTTATATGGCATATCTTTTTTTGTTTCTTAATAATATAATCACAAATTAATATAAATTTAGAAGAGGAACATTTTATTAAATTCTGTAGCGTATTTTTGCTTGTACAAAACTTTTGTAATTTATTGTTAAGAAATAAAAATAATCGCG